ATTTGTGATGTCATCAAATTATTAGGTATTTNGGTTTGGTAAGGGTCAGACTGGGAAAAACTGGGACATTATAGCAACTAAGACTTTAAGTATAACTGTAAGATGGACTGACAGACGGCTAAAATTAATTGTCCTTAACACATATATCATTAGTCTGTCTTTGTACGTCTCAAGAATTGTCCATCCGTCTTCATTAGCCCACTTGGTGCAGAAAAGAAGGACGTAAAACTCCATTCATTTCATTTCATTTCTCAAGAATTGTCCCATTATCCAAGTCCGCACTGAAACAAATAAACTCTTCAATTTTCTAATGGATTCTATGGAATAATAACTTTGAACTCATCAAAAGTGACACTTTAAATTTAAACCCTGAACAAGGTGGGCTTGTCTTGTTTTGGTAAATATTCTAAGGCTTTCAGAAATTGATAATAGAATTGATCTGGAGTTGATGTATATATGTATAGGGAATTGAAATCTAATAAATCGGGAGTTTTTAACATGTTAAATAAGAGGTGACTATTTCCGGAACCTGATTGCACGATGCACATTAGCATTGGGCTTTGTGGAAATCTGATTGTTTGAACTTTGAATAATAATTAAGTTTTAGTGGGGGTTTAGTAGATCACTGTCTCCTTGTCGATATTTAGAAAGAAATAAACCATCACCAGTGCAAATGTCTTAAAGTATTATTCCCTTTCCTTCTTTGTTTTCTATCTGCGTTTCACGGATTTGATCAATTAATTTAGACAAACCTTCTTTTACTGTTTTCTTGGTTTCATGGTTGAATTGTTTGATGGTTGATAAGATATCTTTTATGCCCGAACCTTTGGCTAATTTTTCCATTTTTAAGTTATTTCTACGTTTTTGTCTGGCTTTGATGTCTTCTGCCTTTTTCTTATTTACTGCTGAAACAGTCGAGCTTACTCCCCCTGCCATTGCCCCAGCGGCTACTAACCCCTCGAAAATTAAGGGTAGGAGAAGACTTTTTGGCTTGTTCGTCTATTTCATCAAAATTGAATTTTGTAATTTTTTAATTTGTCAATAATTGATTTTGAAATATGTATCTTTTTACCGCTATAAGTAATTGTTTTCGGTTTGCCACTTTCAATTGATTCTAATATTTTCTCAACTAAAATTTCTGGTTTCATTTTTTTAAATAATATTTTTATTCCATTCTGTTCATCGTTCTATCCATTATATTTATGATATGAAGAGACTCTTCTAGTAATAAACAATATTTGACCTTTTCTCCTGCTGTCTTTCCAATATATATGGACAGCTAAACACCCGTTTTGAACAAATGGGTGGAGAGATCAAAGCAAAATATTGGATATTTTAAAACAAAATCGACATTTTGAATCTGAGGTACATTTCCAAATAACTCACTCATAATTTTATAGTTTCTATATAATTTGTTAAAATCTTTAGTATCTGGATCAATTGTTAAAGGTTGGTTTGGATAATTTTCGTTATTCATTCTTACTTTAACTCTCACTGGTTATTTTAAAAAGGTTATTATTCTTGCGAAACCGGAAGAGTTTTGAAACCAAGTATTAAATATTTTGCTCGTTTTGTAGTGTATGTCACTTGCCATGTAAAATTCTCACCTGTGATTGTTATCGATCCAATCGTGTTTCTTCTTAAAAATGCTATATCAGTATCTTTTGTCAAACTATTAATGAGTATTGAAAGTCTTAATATGGTGTACTTTTGTATTTGATAAATAATTAATGATTGAATTGAATGCTAATATCCTTTTCGCGGAAAAAAAATTCGTGGGGGTGAAAAAGTGATATTTTGATGGGAAATCGATGATTTGTACGGAAAACCCTGAGCACGTTCCAGATATATCGGAATGTATGCTAATGTATGTGTGACGTAAATTATGAACTTGACACGGTGGTTTCTGGGAACGTTACACTGACAGATAAACAATGTGGCGGATGTATTATAATGAAAACGATACGTGAAAACAGAACCGAAATATATTGAAAATAAAATATATTCGTTTTCGTTGAAATACAACCTGATCGCATAACTTGGTAATTTTTGATAACATCTTGAAATTCTACATGGAAAATATTCATATCTCTTTACAGAATTAAATATCTTGATTAGTCTTTGAGATATTCCATG